AGTAATATTGTTATCGAATAGGACTAAATAATAGGCAGATCAAACAATAAGAATATTTTGAAGATCCACCTTCGTCGGATGGTGCCCTAGTGGTTTGGAAAATATCATGTGAATTATTGGTCAAAAACTCTGATCGAACATGCTATTATCTTCTTAACCCAAGACGTAACCCGGTATCAAATCAAGTACAATTAGTATCAATGCTTGGGGTAAGTACGGTATAGGTCATCTGTTACTCGTCCTGCCATTTGGGTTATCGGTTCGACTACAGCCGGTCTGCCGCTTTTAACGATTGACCGTATTCATAGGCTTACATTTCATAACATTAAAAGTCAATATTTTGTTATATTAGTTATTATTGTTATTAAATGATTTTAATTTGACCTCGCATACTCGAGTGGAGTGGTGGTGTTCGTAATACTCACATCGCCGAATCCCAATATTTCTTAGACATTCCAGTTTACTGACGAATACATTTTTTTTAAGATTTTTTTATCTAAAATAAATTGAATATATCCAAGTAAAAACAAAAAAAAAGTATTTATACATAATAATATTATCACAACTACTCGAACGTACATTGGTAAATGATAGTTTCGTTTTTTTTATAAAGTTATTAAATATTTTCGTTTTTATTTAAACAAATTTAAATTTAATATTACTTATCATGATAGGTATTATTGTTTACTAAAAACCAAGTTTGTCATATTAAAAACGAAGAATTATTATCACTGATTGATTACATATTATGTATATTAATATATTATCATAATATTTACACAAATGCGGAAGGATTGGGAAAAAGTATCGCAAATATTTTTAAAATAATTATAATAATATATAGGTAGGTATATCCCGTATACCTAGAATCTAGATATTCATAATATTTTTCTAACCATTATTGTTTGACTAAATTAATTTTAATTTTTTTAGTGTTTGATGATTTTTTAAAAATAATTTAAAGTCAGTTTAATTACGTTATAATATACGAACCTATAATGGATATGCACTAAAATATGCAATTTTCTAAGACTTAAATCGTATGGATAAAGAATTCAAATTGGACAGTTGTTGTACCTAGTGCTATGGTACAATTTGGAAGTCAGCGAAATGGGATGTCAGTGAATTAGGGTGCGGAAACATGAGAAAAACGCTGTACGCGAGTTCCGTTCATACTTCCGTCCCAAATAGGTATAAGAACTGCGATAAATACACGTCTTTAGTTCCATCCAACTTGGGTTATTCATCCGATTTCCTTTATGGACTTAATATTATTAATAATTTACAGCTATTGTAGGTAGAAATTGAGTACAATTATTGATTAGGGAGTGCGGGTTAACAATTTGAAATACTAAAATAAAATGACAAAAGAGATTAAAATAATCTCTTTGTCGAAAACATGGTGTTACAATTGCATTGTAGATAAGAGTACAAAGTAATCTGAATTTTTTTTGTTTGTTCAGTACCTATTTATGTTTTCGTAATCGCGAAAATGTAGGTACACATATTTTGTAACTAAAAATCTAAACAGTTTTGTATTTAAAAACCTAAGAATATAAAAATTTAACACTAGAATCCTCAAAGTTGATTTTATTAAAATTAAAAAAGAAGTTAAGCCACGTTAATTTTTTATGAGGATTTGAAAATCAAATTTTGACTAAAAATTAAAATTGTTATCAAAGGATTTTAGTTACTTTGCTGTATTTAACAAATATCTGTCATAGAAACTTAAATAATTCCAACATTATTTAAATGGTATATATCAAGTACCAACATTTTTTCAAAAATTAAGAAGCATTCTCATCTATGTATAGGCATTTGAAATTATCGATTTTATTATAATAATGGTGCAAGGTCCAAAAAACTGTAAATGTAATACAAGGTTTATCATAAATAAATTGTAATTGCCCATAAATATTACTGGGAATTTTTTACTTTTGACTCCTCAAAGTACCAACTATAGATTCATTTTCCTACCATAAATTTGCTGAAGTAGAAAATTGAATCCTCAAAAGGTAATAAAGGATAAAGAAAAAAACACATCGTAAAATCAATACACGAAGTTCAGAAGCTCAGAATCTATAATATCATTGATTATTAATACGCTTTATAACTGTCCAAAAATTAGAAAGGTAAGTTTAATAATATTTTATAAGAAAGTAATAATATATTTTGATAAAATATGAATATGGAATATTACACCTTACACTTTTCCCTCCCTCTAATCTAAGCCGATGTACAAACCAATGTACGATAAAGGCATCTACAATTGGTTTGCACCTGGGCCTCAAAATCGTATAGTTGAGGTACTGAAGAATCATATAATTATTGTTTGTGGAGTTCAAACTACTGTGTGGATAACCAGCCCACATATATTGTTTTATTTATATGAAAAACAAATATATCTATTTATCTAATAAAAAGTCTAGCAATTAATTGATTTTTGGTCAAATGGTTTAATTGCCGTTAATTCAAAGAATCTAGCAAAATATATCCTGATTCAGCCCATTGCACCCGGTCAGTGTTCAAAATAGTAATCCAAAATATATATTATATGATTTAATATCTGCTCAATATCAGAACTTTGATTATTTTGATTTTGCGAACAACTATATTAATATAGTTTTAACTGTTACAACTAGGTAGCAGATAGGAGGACAGCGTAGACTTAAGTGTCGGGTGCAGTGGCATATTTTTTTTGTGAAAAAAACAGGCTTTACTTAGGATTATATTGTTATTGTTTTTTGCAAACAAGGAAATAAACATGTTGTCATATACAATGTAAAAACAATTGTAAGTACATGTACGTACTTGTGTTATTATACAACTCGGGCACGAGCGTCGACGGATGGGATCCTAGTAATTTGGAAGAGCGAATCGGTCATAAATTACCGCCGAACCATAACCCGGGTAACCTCGGTAGGCGTATGGGTTATCTGCGTGACTGCAGCCGGTCCGCATATTTTAATGATTTTATTCATAGGCTTATGATATAACATTAACCGTCTATGGTTTAATCCTATAAAAATTATTGTTATGCGAGCTCACGTATAAAATTAGCAGACATTAGGTCTGATAAGTAAGCCAGTCATCATTATTATAGGTAAGTATATAAACTTTTTTTATATAAAATAAAAATAACTAAAACATGTCAACAATTGCTAAACTCCATAAATTATTCAAAAAGTTCAAAATTATTTTGAAAATTATACCGTGCCTGAAAAATTCAACTATAAATATTCGATGACGATATTTTCAAGTATCTATGATTATTTGTTTAAATACGATAAAATTACAAAATAGATTTTGTCAAATATCGTTGTTGTGTAAATATTTTTCAGATTTTCCATGTTTTTTTTTTGTATTTTTTTATGCAACATTCAAGGAATTTTTAACTCCTTAGCACTCCTCGATGAGGAAGATTGTAGCATTTATCTACAACAAAAGATGTCTTTAGACACCACAAAAACATACGTAATTGTTCTAAGACCAATTCATTGCGCTTTGCTCAGAATCTAATAGTATAGGTAGGTATTGTTATTAAGTAAAAAAAATAAAGCTTTTTTGGAACAACGATCAAACTCTGTTTATGGTGTGTACAATTATTATGTTTATTTTGATTAATAATTTCGTTTGAATCATTGAACGTGTCTTAACATTTTGTATTTTTTACTATTTCACTAAAATTACAATAAGTATCTAATAATGTGAGAATCAACGTTTCCTCGAATTCCAATCGATAAACAAGCTTTTATACCAATTTCCAAGAGTACTTTAGTTATAACAACTAAAATATTGTGGCTTTAGAATAAAATCACCATACCTACTTTTCATAATTATGTATGTTTTAGTAAGTCTACCACTCAGTTTGAAAAAGTTATTTTATGATTACTATTGCTATTATTTTAAAGAATAAATTTACCTGCTGTATAAATAATAATAACATTAACATTTAAAAAACAACACAGTTACACAATTGTTTAGGTTCATACAGCACTATAGTTGAGTTCAAATTGTTTAATTTTGTTGGATGTAATTTGTTCATAATTTAAATAATTTAATATTATAATTTATTATACTTATTAATTATAATATTTACGAGTGGCTGAATTGTGTTGAACTTAAAAACGTATAAACACGCAATAAATAATAATTTCGTATAAAAAGCTCTTTTGGAATTGGATTTGTTCATTTAATCTTCTCACCACTTTTATTGATATCGTTCGTTTAATACAAATTAAAGTTTAATTTTTAAATTCAAGTTTCGGACTTACTTCTGTTTTAAACGTATTGATTACATTTTTTCGTATTTTATTATTATTTTTTATAATAATATGCATTTGTGTACGTAAAGTATATTATTATATTACATTGTTTATTAGTCGTTGCACATACAAACGACGAATAAACCGTCGTAGTTTCATCTTTTGCATTATTCAGGCTATTCAGATAATATGCGAGTGCGCCATGGGAGAACTGAGTTAAAGTTTATTAAACTGATTTGTAGACCGTATAATTTATCCCATGCACCGGTGAATTCCATTTTAGACGAATATTACTTGTACGTTGTATTTTCTTGATTAGTATAACTTAATATTACACTCGGCGGTTGTATCAGATTGAATTTTAGTTTTTATATAGGTACTCTAGAGCCATTGGAACTCTCTGTTCGCAATTTTTTTTTTTTTGTTCGAACGGGAAATTGATTTTACACCATTTTCATTATAATAATAATGATAATAATAATTAGAAATATAATACAACAAACACTTTCTTTATGGTGGTCGTATAAAGACCATTCACTATAACTTAAATACCCTGCAGTCCCTGTGCAACACAGCTGATTGCAGTAGTTTATTGGTTGTAATATAATGCAGGTGTTTATGTGTTGCAAGTTGTATAGTCTGAGTTTAGATTTCGCATACGACGTTCATAGTTGTAGTTATGCGAATCGTTGACAGTATACTATTATGATTAAAAGTTATAAAATTCATAATTACCTGTCTTAATGGCGTCAACTTCAGCTGGGTACCAGTACTCGTCATTCCTGAGCAATAACACAGTAGTGTTGTTTGGCAGTGTTTTGAAGTATTCGGGATCTTCGATTTGTGTACCGTCAGTTTCGAGTACCAATCTAACGGGCTCATTCGGCGCGATATTCAGTTTCTCTTTGCCTGCCAAAAAACACACACCGTTATTGAAAGGTTTAAAAATAATAATAAATCAAAAATACAATTAGTATAGTCTAGTTATATTACACTATTATGATATATTCTTATGAGTCATAACTCAGTTGAATGTAATGATTTGTACATATATACTCATGTGTGATTCGTCAAATATGCTGACCGTTAGATTTTTTCAATAATGCAGTTATTCAAATTATTGTTTTTGAAATTTGCAAACAATTCTCAGATACCGTATTGTTGTATTCTTGGGACTTTTCGTACTACTTAAGGAGTTACTGAGTGTCCTGAGGGGATAGAAACTGCCGTTTATCAAATTTTAACCTTCCATTTCTACTGTTAATTATTTATCAGATATTTTTCTAAGCTATTTGACACATCAAAATTTTTTAAAAAAAAGTAGTTTTTGAGTTATTTATTAACTTTGTGTACCAAAGACCTATATAAGGTCCAAGATAATGGTTTGGGAAGATATGCATGGACTATGGTGCTTTGAAAATTTTAATAATTAATGTTAATGTGTCAATATTATACATATTTATAATTTATAAAAATGGTCCTAGTATAATAAAAACTAGATCCAATATTACATTTATATTATATTTTTGTAAGACTAGTTTTAAGGACATAAGACGAAAGCTGAACTTTTACGTATGTTTGAATATTTTAAATTATTTACCTACATAAAAATGTAATTAATATTCATATAATTATATACTAATTAGTTTATAGTAAAACAAGGGGTTTCTTATCTGAAAAACACAATTTTGTAGGTAGTAAAAGGTAGTGGTAGTAAAAACAAATCTCAATAGTTTTAAAATATGGTTTAAAGTATAATCAAAAGTTCCAAAAATCAAAATTTGAATAAGTTTATACTCATGGTCTGAGAATCACCATAATGTTATATATATTATAGTTCTGTTTTATTTCATAGCTTAGAAAATATATTTAATTTATATAATCTTATATCTATTGTATTCACTTTTCATCTGTTATCCACTTTGAAAATAGTAAATTTAACTAGCCGTCCGTTATTTAAAAATAAAATAAGTAAATAATTGTATGATATAGAAAATATATTATGCATATTCAATAATTTTCACAACGTGATTAAATTATATTTTTAATAGAACACTCTTGGTGCATACAATTTAAATTTAATAGTAAGTCAATTATGTCAAATTAGTTATGATATTAATCGGAAAGTTGGTGTAACGGATTATAATATATATATTTATAAATATCAATATTACAGTAACATTTCAATATTATTAAATTTGCCACTTTAACAAGACTCGTTTTAATTAGAGACTAGAGAAACGTTATTTTAAATAGGTATAAATATTTCGATTCACTAGAACTTCGAGTACCTACGGTTATAGAAATATTTTACTAAATTAATGTTTGTGGGTGGATTTAAGGTGGATATGAGCATATTTTGTTAAATGTTCAAGTATATGAGTAATTTTTATTTTCTAAAATATATACCAACCAAATTTATTATTAAATACCGATAGCGTTAAAATAATGTTCACTGTAATATTATTACATTTTACGTATAATAGAAGGAATTTTAGTTAAAATAATATGCATAAATTATATTCCATTTTACGATTGATTATCTTAAGGTAAATATGAAAGGAATCTCGAATATACCCACGTTTAAAGTATTCAGGAATAAAATATACTTCAGTAAAATAACTTGTTATAAATGCAATGTGTATAAGCCAATAGTGTTTTACACTTAATTTAATTCAAATTATTTAAAAATTATTAAATGGAATATTTTTGTTCAAAGTCGGAGTACGTATAGTTGTTATAAGTTTCATATTCATTTAGAATTATTACTTTGTAAAGCAGACATCGTATAATATTTTATAAAAAAAATAAAAAATAATTACTTGCATTCTTTTTGATTTGTTTTAAAAATAACTAATACACTTCGACGTTTTATATTTTATAATATAATATAATTAGTTTCCTAGAGTCGATAATAGGCCAGTTTGATCGAAACTTGGTAATTTAAAATCACCGGTATCAGAAGAGATGAAAAAAATCTCTATCAACCTGTCATCCCTCGTACTTATTATATTTCCTGTTAACTTTGAAATGATCAATGTTTCATTTTTTCCATCGAATTTCGAATTACCGAAGGTCGGGGGGCTGTATTAAATTCGCAGCGATTGGCGGCGGGACGCATTTTAAAGGGGCTTATATTTGTTATATATTTTTTTATCGGAGATTTTCAATTCTATCAAACGGGCGAAATCGTTATTTTTCGGAGGCTCTCAGTCCTCCTGATAATTTCCAGTAATTATTATAACATCCACTCCTCGGGCGGCGCTGATAATAATAACATAACAGCAGCAGCTTTTGGAATAATGATAATAATAATAATAACAATAATATGTGTGTGCTTAAAATTTGTAATATGGCATTTTATCTCGTCGTTATACAAACCGTGTCGTTTCAAACTTTTTCCAAGAAATTTTATATTGCTGTTTCTCGTATTTAAATATACACACACCATCAATTGCAAAATACTAATAATAATAATACAACCTTTGGTTGCTATTTATATACATTATACGCTGTGGTGTGTACGATGACTACTGTACTGCTATACACATAATAATAATAATAATAATAATATGTCTATTCTGTTCTATTTTTCTTTGTTTTTATTTGTTACACCAGATCGTTTACTATACTTATTTTCTTTTTAAATACCGCTGTATTCAATCTTCTTTGATCTAGCTTAGTGTGAATTAGCGAATAATAATATCAAAGTTGTGATGTCACTTCTGCAATTGAAACGACGTTCTCTATATGAGTTAAGTTTTTAATCGAAATTGCCATCTCTCATCGATTTGTGAGAGTTAATCATTTATATTATGTTTAATAATAGTTGACTAAAAATGTAAGCCTGATACAGTTATTGTAGTTGTCAATATTAAACTAGCTGACAAGTCGATAAGAAAGTTTTTTTTAAACTATTGTTTTACAATAATAAATTCAAATTTGTGATCAAAATTTTTTTAAAAAAATTCTAAATACTTTGTTTTTGAACAAAAATATAAATTATATTGTTTTGAAAATACTGATATAATGTGTTGATCTGGTCTAGAGTGAATTAGTGTAAAATATCAAAGTTGTCACTTCCACGATTGAATATTGATACGTTCTCTATACCTATTAAGTTATAATGGCAATTATTGCCATCTCGCATTGATTTGTGATTTGTGAAATCTTCTTACTTATGTTTTAAAAAAGTTGATTAAAAATGTAAAACCTGATACAGTTATTGTAGACTTGTAGTTTTCAATATTAAGCACATCGACATGACTATTAGAAACTTTAATTTGAGACTATAATGTATTATAATAATAAATTAAAATTGTTATCAAATTTTTTTTTTAACGTTTAAAAAACTTTGTTTTCCCAAAAAACTGCATTTTTAAATATTTAAATATTTATCTCCAGATATAAATTAAATTAAAAGTATTGAGGTTTAAAAACAAGTAAATACATTAAAAAAAGAATGTAGTTACGTAGTAACTAGAAAATATTTTAAATTACAAAAAGGTCAACAATAAACCTTGTGATAATTATAAAAAATTAATTGTATGCATATAATTTTTATATAAATGCCTCTAAAAAATGTACGATAATTTTAAAGGATAAGCACCTATGTTGTAAAAAAAATATTTTCTTATTCTACTTGATTTAACTTACGTAATTTTTTTTCAATTTCTATAATTTTAAAAAATATAGTTAGCAATTTAGTAATTTGAATAAAAATGTAAAATATTCATTAAAAATCAACTTAAATCCCTTTATGGCCAGTAAATTATTTTATCTTAAATGAAATTTGTATACAGATTAATATAATAAATGAAGTAATTAATTTCTTTGATTTTGAAGGCTTGCATATACATTTTTCTAGCATTATCTTTTATACAAAAAAAAAAAAAAAATTCCCTAAAATATTCACGTACCTACATAAAATTTACTTACAAGTTAAACATTTAATCGGTTTTTTAAAAATTATAAACAAAATAAAACCAGATAAAATTGTTTTTAATAAAAACCCATTTAGGTTGTTTTTAAATTATTTTAAAATAATCATTTGAATAAAATTAAATAATAACTTCAGGTGGGTACGTAATATTATAACCGAATTATATAATTAGGTAGGTATCTATGTATTATTTAGTAATAAGTTTTTGAATAATTTATTAAACAACTTAGAATTTAAAAAAAAAATATAATAATAATATGGCTAACCAACATCAGTACAGAATTAATTTCCATCTCTTACAAAATGTATAATAATAGAAAAATGTTTTACATCTTGCAGTATTTTTGAAAAGCGTTTTTTCGTTACACGGCGCATTGTACAGGCAAAATAGGTACATTATTGCATTGCGGGACATAATATTAATATGTTGGTGATATTATTAATATTATTATTATTATGAAAACTTGAAAAAAGTTGTATCATTCGTTTTTCCTCAGGTAATATGATTTTTATGTGTTATATCTATACGATATATTTTGACATGACGTGTCAATTTAAAATCTTAAGAAATAAATTAGTGGTTTACTTTATTGTTTTAATTACTTATACTAATTAAATAAACAATCAAATGTTAAGTGTTAAAAGTTAATTTTAAACTTCAATTCTAAGGTTTATTCAAGTTTATAAATTACTAACCTTCTATTTAAATCGTTTATAATTTTTTTTTTTAACAAATTTTATATTTTCAATAATTTATTATCATCAAACTTTTAACAAAAATATGCAAACTGTATTTAATAGTACATACAATGTTTAACAATATTTTAAGTAAATTAAACCATTTGACATTGTCTAATATTATGTTAGTTGACGATATACTATATTATATTTATATAAAAACTCATTTTATATACTAAATTTCAGAATATATCAAATTCGAATAAATTTGTGGAATGAACTTATCTCTTTCTTTTTCATTATTTTATAATAAATTCCAGAATTCAAAATTTACAAATTATATTTAGTTTTCATTGCAGGTGCTTTCTTTAGGGTGTATACACTAAATATACTAATACACATACCTAATGTGTATGGTATTTTAAATATGAAATATCATTTTTCGACAGCACAATAGTTTAAATAAAGGTATTTTATCCGTTTTATCTGAATACTGTAGATATAAATAAATAATTAATTTGAGAGTTTAATTTTGTTCACAGACGAACATTTTTAGTTAATTTAATTTATTTATAAATATAGAATGTTAAACATTACACAAATGTTGAATAATATGAATAATATATAATTTCAATTAAATAATTAATTTAGTGATGAAACTTTATAAGTAACATTGATTAAAACACTTTATTAGGACACGACATTGTCGCTTTTTAAAATAATAGTATGTATAATGGAATGTTCCATATTTTTTTTTCCTCGTCAAGATGGAAAACAAAATATTTTCAATGTTCATGGTTTGTTATTGCATTCAGAATTCTAAGAATAGTCATTATATAAACTTAATTTAAAGACATTATTATCACTGTGATTATTCATAAAACTATCTCTTATTATATTTTTATCTTAAATTATGATTCAAATTTAAATGACTTGGCATGTAAACGATCATAATATTGTATACAATTGCATAAAATATTTTTTGTTTCTACATTACTATTTTAATAAAGTAACTATACATATTTTGTTAACATAACTCTTAACGATACTAACATTAAATTATTCTATAAGATGAGAACAATTTAATATCTTCAAGGATTGATCTGATTACAACGTATTTCTTTATTTTAAATAGATTTTGTTTTTACGTATTCTAAATATTACCAAAAAAAAAAAAAAAAATATACTTAAAAAATATATAATATTTATAAGACATCTGTTGAATAATATCCAAACATTCAACTTTTAGACCATTAATTTTAAATGAATTAAAAAATAAACATGTTACTAAAAAACCCGAAATAAATTTCATTATTTGCATTAAAATAATATTAATAATTTAAAAAAAAAAAATGATTTCATTTTAATAAAATGTATTATCATAATAAATATTATTTTGAGAAATAATTTGTAAAACAGTTTTATAATAATATTTTTTTCTCAGAAATAATTTTTGGAGAAGTAAAAGTTCTTCAAAAGTTTCATACAACCATCTAGTTAATGGATCATAATTTCGTATATGTACATAAATAATAAAAATTATAGGAAAACATGTTTGTTGAGTTATTGAGAATTTTTAATTTAAGAACATAATATTTTCATATAATTCTAAGGTAACTCATAAAGGTGCAAGCTGTAAATTAATAATGTATAGTAATACTTACCACGTATTTCTAAGTCTTTTAAGCTAGAGGCCAACAAGCTTTTTCTTATGTTTCTAAAACCATCCCATATTTTAAATGGTCTTTTTCCTCGAGATTCCTAAAAACATAAATTTTACACACATAAGTATTAGTTAATTTTTTTTTACTATTGTTTCACAAAATCAATCACATTTTTAAACATTATTAAATCATATAATATTTGTTGATTGTTAACCAAAGTAAGTCACCTTAAAATATAAATGTTAATAAAATTTTATTTGTTGGGTTAAAAAGAGTGAAAATTGAATACAAGTCTTCTGATATATTGTTACTAAAGCAGTTGAATAAAAATCAAAATAAATAGGTACAATTTTTGTTTATAAGCATTTAAAGTTCAAAGTTTGACAGAATCTAACAAAATTTAATTTCAAAATTATTTTGTAGCTAAACATTTATAAAATGTTCAACTTTTATAGATAAGGATTTAAAATGTAAAAAAAAATGTTACACGTAAATAGGTAAATAAATTTCTTTAATCACAATAATAATATATCACCAAATATATACTTATTAATATATTATGGGCTGACCGACTGTTTTCTCTAAGAAGCGTTTTTCGTATACAATGATATTATATCATTGTAGTAAAATTTAACAACCCCCATTACAGTGACCGACTTGTAACCTACTGTACATCAGAGTGACACTCACTTGCCCACCTTTTTTTTTCTTTACCTTGGGTACATTAATTATGAGCTATTCATATCATATAATACGTCATAACACTACAGATTCAATAAGTGTTGAAAATATTTAATTATAATAATAACTTCGATAACAACAACTAATACACCGATTTCCAAAACGCCTATTAGATACGTCTTATAAAACTTGAGCTTGTCTTGAGATCAAATCAAAATTATTTTCGGAGATCTTTATTCTTTTATTTCTTTCAAATATAATATTAAAGGACACCATTATCTTGGTCCCAGGTGAGTGAAACAAGATGAATCCTATAATACCCTGGTATTCTATCCTGTTTGACTTTTTAATAAGTGATGATATTTTTTGTGAAATATATGGGTAAAGAAATAATGTGGATTTTTATTTTATTGTACAAAAAATGATAGGAAAAAAGCAATAAGTGTGTTTTTATGTTAATATATTACAAAACCAGATTGTTCTAAGCGCGATCTAAAGTTTTTCAATTTCACATAGCTCAATCGATAATTTCATTCTTTTGAACTTTTATGGAAAAATGTTAAAACACCGCTCTTTATAATAATTTCAAAGTGATGCTGAACTACAAATATATACGTGTTTATATTCAACCGTCTATGAAACTCTTTTTTTTACGTGAAAGTTAATTTTCCATTTTTCCCCATTTTGCTTGACCTAATTATTTTTATTTTCTCCTTATTTTCTTCCGGTTCCGGTTGTAGATATAATAATATGAATGGTAAGAAAACTTTTAGTATTTTTTCTACAGTCGTTCATTCAATTTTTAAGGTCTCCGGATTAGAGTATTGTTATTTAGGTTTTGATTTATGTTTCTTTGCGTGAGTCTTAAGTTTTAGCAAATTTAAATAAATAAAGCATTTTTAAAAACAATATGCTATGAATATAATTATGAAATATGACAATGTTCTATCTATTTATTATGTTCTTTTTTAATTATAAGGGTGATTTGTGTGTTTTTGAAAAATTATGTTTACTTTAATTGCAGTTTTGTTTTAATTTCAAAAAATTTATAACATACAAAAAATAAGTAGTAAATAGTTTAATTTGATATTGAAATCTAAATAAAATTGATAAATATAGGTTTTAAATCAATTTTAAATATTATTTATTCTTAAATTAACTTATCGACTTTTAAAAACTGTTAACATTATTTAATTTCTGAAAAGTTATTAGTCCGTATTTAAAAACAAAAACGATATTGAAAATATTATGTAAATAGTAACAAATGGACACAGATATTTCTTAATTCTTGGAGACAATATTGTTTTGTGTGAGCACCGAGGCGTATAAGATAATATGATATTGAAATAATTCTCTTTCAAATATTATGTTTACCACTTATATAAGAGTGCTTATATTAATTTACTTCAATTAAATTTTTACACAGTCTTAAAAGAAATATAATGTGATTAAAAAAGTACAAATGATCTAAATTGTATTATATTATTCATATTGTATTGAACAATTATTAATATATAAAGCTAAATATAAATATTGAATTTAAACATTAAGTCTATATAATCAGGACTTAATTTTTGTTAGAAAAATACTGCGAAAATTATAAAGCAAAAATAAAGCAAGTACCCACATAATGGGTTTTTATATTGTAATTTCAGAGTAGAAAATACCGTTTATAATTTTGTATTGAAATTATAATACTGATATTCAATTCTTCAAAAACGGTATAGTTCAATCACATAAGGGTAAAACTTTGTGTACCACGAATTGTTCAGGCGATACCGTTTAAATTTTTAAACACTTTTTCCGGGAAATAATAAAAAAAGCCTTACATTATTACGATGAACAGCATCGAACACAGCTAAAATAACTATAGATAGGTATTCTTTATTAAAGGCGTACTGTAAGCGAACCATAGCGATTATCACTGAATTTCATAATATTATATAATTTTTATTATTTTCCGGAAAAAAATCGAAAACATTGCAAACGAATATATTTTAAAACTCGCTTACAATCGATGAACAATCAATAGAGTATTTATAATAACCTTGACCTCTTTGCAAGAGGGTGAACGCTGAACCCGAGGCAGAGCATTTGTTCGGATTCTGCAAGATGTCACCTAACCTAACCGATTTTTAACGTCGATTTGTATCCGACTCATTATTTGTTTTCATCAAGGGTAGAGGGTGTTTTCCAATTAATTTACCTCCGATAGTATAAAAAACAAAACAGTTGTGTAGAATAATACGTTGCTTTTTATAACACTGTTTAAAGGTCGAATATTGTTTTCTCAGATACATATAGGTATTTGCTATCGGTGTAGTGAGAATCTATATATAATAATATATATATATTTAAGACAAACTTTTTGCGGTATCGTTCATATTTCTCGATATAGTTTAACAACAACTACTACAACAGCTGCAGTTGTGTTGAGTTTTTTTTTTTTTAACAAGTTTCTTAATTTGAAAAGTAAGCATAATATAATAAATTAATATTCTGGAAAAAAAAATTAAATATGATTACATTATATTCGCGAGGGTGAAAAGAAAAGTATACAATATTTGATTATAATAATGTTTTTTATCTCGACGTCTATTCTGTAAGAATTGTAAGAACGTAGAATTTTAAGAGCTATGTATATACTTACAACAAACTATACTGGTAATTTTCAATCCCGATAAACCAAAGTGACATTTTTGCTCATTTCCTATAGATTGACATACTAATATTGTTATGACACTTTCAGCACATTACATAGTATAATATCTATGTATATACATACATTTTAAATCTACTTTGTTCCACACTCAGTCAATTTAAGAATATTTTCCATTTAATCGATCAATATTCCAGCGATTTCATAAAAAATAAATATAAAAAACCGGTGACCCATATAGTCATATTATCAAACCCTATTTATATTTATACAAAATAAATATAAATACAGTTCCATTATTGTTGTTTGTACACTTTTTACTCGGTCGGATTACGGCGGAGGCAGTGGGTGGCCGGTGGGTATCGATTCGCCGGCAGTTTATTTAGTTTTAAAATTTTACGGTTTCGCAATAATAAAATAATTAATATTATAATTATATACCTAAAAAAAAAAATACTTTTGTACTTATAATAATAATAATAATACTAATAATAATAATAATAATAATATATTATTATAATAAACGTTTTCTGTTATTATGTGTGCGGCATAGATATAGCTACTTAGTTCTATTGAAGTATTCATCCCCTTTTTATTATTTTGCAGAATACGGCGCAAGACTCGGCAGATGAGTAGGTATCGTTTTCATATTCACTTTTGTGTAAAGGTTGTCAAACAAGTTTTAAGCATATCGTGCCACAAAGAGTAAGTCTCTCCGTTTACCCAGAAGGCAAACAAACTGTTAAAATATGTGTCTGGGTACGATCTTCGTCAGATAAGATCACCACCACGAGATTGTTATTTTGTTTATTCATTGATTTTCCTTTTAACGTCCGTCCGTATCTGTGTATATATATTATATAGGCTGCTTATTTTCGGAAAATGTTTTAAACAAGTGTTTGAACATATTTTAGTACATTATTATATTGTTCAATTCATCTACCTATAATATCAAATCCCAACAAAAATATATTATAATATGTTTTATTATTTTGTTTGCACATATTATTATTATACCGACGAACGTCTACGCGCTATTATAAACTATGTTGTTAGGTATGTCTGATTATAATAGGTAGCTACAGGCTACAAAATATAAGCTGCAGGATATCTAGTTATGTAAATGTGGTACATGTTATGGATAGGTGTTATGTGGGTTCGGAAAATGAAAACAAATACGCGTATTGTACCATTATACAGTTCAACATATTATTATGGGCACGTTAAAAAGAAAACCCAGTTGAAAATAATCTTAACGAAATATTGGACGTTTAAGATGAACCATTTAAGCGCCTTAAATCACAATAGATGTCACTCTTGATAGTAATTACACAATACCCTAATCATTATTTTAATTGTTTAAAAACTATTATTGTACATGTTTATATTTGTATATAAAACTAAAAAAAATTAACCTTATACTATCGCTCGCGTCATCAGTGCCTAGTCCATGTCAATGTTATTGTCGAATGCGTAAATTTTTTAATGTATTACCTATTATAATTTTATCTATCAACATTTAAAACTAGTCATTTGTTGAGAACGGATTTAGATTAATTTAAATTCAGGAAATTTGAGAAGTATTAACGTCAACGGTTAAAATTAATAATAAAGTACAAATCTGAGCAAAAAGGATTGTATTTGTTTTACAGCAGTGTGTATTTAATATAAAAAAAATATTAAAAATGTATTTATATATAATTATACCTATATATTTAGTATGCATAATACTATGGTATACATACCAATCCAAAATC